TTTAATATTATGTAGGCTGTAGTGGGTTTAGCCTTAGGGGGTACAGAAACTTGCTCGACACTTGTTTGTACCACCCTCCAAACCCTAATCCACACACCTTCATACTATTCTGAGAGAAACTGATACTACAATGATAGCACCTCCAACTACACGCACAATGCTTCACCCTAACTACAGTAACCCACACAACGAACACCATCGCATGTCACTGCGAAAATTAACGACCGACAACTCTGCGAGTTTGTGTTTTTTCTCATCTGATCAGTAAGACAAGCGTTTCAGGTTCGTATGATTTTCCAGACCATGTAGAATTCTTAATCTGAATATACAGATATCGAGTTCGGTTTCGTCTGAAACCGACATCTTGACCCACTAGGCCATATGCCCAGTAGACGAGGATAGGACCACAGGTACAGCCATTTGCTGCCCTGTAACTGCACACGCATTCAATACGCGTGTCCAGTAGCAGCCTCGCTGTCATGTAACTGCGGCATATGCTGCCAAGAGTTTGTCGTGTGGCTGGCTGTCGGCACCGACGCCAGCCACATCCACGCCAACGCGTTGTCTCGTGCCAGCGCATTTGCATTGTGGTCGTAGTGCCCCCCGCTCCCAACACGCAGCGCCTTTCGGTTCTCAATGCACTGCACGGTGATGGGGTTGACTTTTGACTCTGCAGGATTACAGTAGGTTGACTTTTGATTGAAATTTTTTTTCGTCTTATGTATCAGACTAGAAAAATGTTTTCAGCTTATAATGCAGACCATGAAAATTTCGTCGTCCGAGCATAAGACGGGGGAAATTTTTTCCAGGCTACTGTCAGACAGCCCCAAAACCTAGCGAGAGCCCTGCTGCGAGTATGTCCTTTGCCACAACGAGCACCCTCAGCCGCGATACAGCTGCCCGCGAATGGCGCCGTCGGGGTGCGAGGGGGACGTGACGAGCCCGTAGAAAGCGGACGGCTTCTTGAGAATAGCTTTCATCTCCTTCTCCAGTGTCTTCCCCGACGCCGTAGTGATGCTCGCAGCCAGCACATACCGTAATCACCCGGACAAAACACCCCCCCGTAATAGTACACCCCCGGGTAGCTTGTGCGGGGGGGGTGCTATAGCCGACCTCGTTTGTACTATACCCCCCTTTTTGGGATGATTCTCTATAACACCCCCCTTTTCTTACGAAACCCTATTATAGCTGTTATCGAGTCAGATTTTTTACGGGAATATCGCTTCCTGAATGAAATTTCGCGTGCACTTTCACTTCGAATCTACCGAGATTCCCTCCCTTCCACAATTTCGCTGTCGCCACGCTGGCGAATCTTCCGCTGCACGTGGCCCGAGAGGTGAAACTCACATTCTCGCCAAAACGCGAATTCTCGCCTCAACATGTGATGTTAAAACGACTATTGAAACACCCAAATTGTCTAATTAAACTTTTTTCTTACACTAAAAAGTGCCATATATAACCACCCGGGTATTATATAGGATTTTCCGTTGAGAGCACCCCCCCCATTTTTTCCCTGTGGTTATCATAATACCCCCAGGTGTTATGTCCGGGTGACTACGGTATTTGTAGATCTTCGTGCCGCGCAGGGGCTGCGATTTGTCCGTTTCGTTCTGCCAGTTTTTGGGGAACTCGATTTGAACCGCGCCGTTCTTGCCGTGCCGGCCGACGTTCACGGAGGCCAGGGTGGGGAACGCGGCCTTGCCGCGCTGTGTGACGTGCACGGAGTAACGCACGTTGTAGACGATGTCTTTCGTCCTGCGCCGCGCGACAGAGGAGCGTGTGAATGGGAATGCGACGGTGGCGAATACGCGGGGTGGTCAATGCGACGACGGCGACCAATGCGACGGCGGCGAACGCGACAACATGCGACGGTTCGAGCGAGCGATGCGAGGAGAGGGACAAATGTCGGCGAGGGCGACAATGACAGATGGAGCACGCACTCGAAAAGCGACAGACCGAAAGTGCCCGTCGACTTGGTGTCGCCCGTCCTGCGCGGCACGACCCGCGCGCCATCCATCGTCGCCACCACGCGCCCTGCGACTCGCAAGCCAGACATCGGCGGACAAAACCTAACGGCTCATGACGACAGACATGCGCTGAAGGAAGAAGAACCAAAAAGCGTGCGGCAAGATGCATGTCGGCGGCACTTGAGGAAATCTTGAGGCGAGAAAGGGCGGTTTACCGAGTCTCCGGCCGAAATCTGCCGCATCGCAGGTGCACGCCGCAAGTGCGAGAAGCGCAACGGCGAGAGGCGGCTTGAAGGCCATCATTTGTTGAGACGGAGAACCGAAGAATGGAAACAAGAAAGGGGTGTTTGAGGAAATGCCTGAGCGTGTCCCTGGAGGGCTCAACGAGGGTTGCGGAGCTGTGGCTGTTGAATAAGGAGCCGCTCTGGCGCGAGTTTAAATAGTACGGACGGCCTCATTCTACCATGAACCTTCCGGGAGAACGTTCAGGCTGAACCTTCAGGATGAGACGTGTGGTGGCGAGGGGGTATCAAGTAGTCACGCTTGGGGAGCTTGTTTGATTGGCGGATGACGCGTGTAGATAAGAAGGGAGCCATCGTGGCATGACGATGCCGCCAGAAGTTGAATGCGGGCGCTCGAGCGCCGAAAATATATGTACCACAGGCCTAAGGTGGAGAGACCTACACAAATAGTACCACCATGAATGGAAACGAACACACGATGGTTTGCGACAGCACGAAACTTGTTACTCCCTACTGTCGTGTCGTAAATGAGGTGAATAGGGGGGGGAGGTGGCGAGCGCTGCTCTTTTGCAGGTGGCTAGGCAATGCGGTATGGACGCATGCGATTCAAATATTCCACGCCAATCAAACATTGCGTGTAAATGCAGCATCTACTCAAAATCAGAACGCAATTTTGTGGAAGCCGAATCATCCAGGGATATCTGCAGAACCATTTACCGTACTCTCATTGCGTGCAAATGACACGGTCTGTTCGATTTGCACATTCACCTTTCACAAGTACTCAAATTTAGTCACAGACGCCCACAGTGAATTCATTTATTGCCTTTCTAGCAATGAAAACAAGCCCGTCCCTTCACATGGACAATGCTAGCACCTGCTAATGCACACACAATGCAAGACCGCCTACTGGCGGAACCGCTACAACACCCATCACATTCCACTGCAGAAACAGCTACTAGGCCGCAAGCACGGTACTTTGCGGTCACGAAAACACCAAAGATGCACTCAGCCTCTGTAGAGCTGCCCGCGAATCGCGCCGTCGGGGTTCGAGGGGGACGTTACGAGCCCATAGTACGTGCGCGGAGCCTTGATAATATCCTTCATCAGCTCCTCCAGAGTCTTCCCCGAGGCCGTCGTGACGCTCTCTGCGTTCTTCCAAATCCCTTCAAGCTTGTAGTAGTAAAACTTGAGGGGACGCGTGATGGGCTGCGGGGTGATCGTTCGGTTCAGCCAGTTGGTGGGCAACTCGAGCTGCACCTCGCCGTTGGCGCCTCTTTTGCCGGCGTTGACGGTGACCTTGGTCGGGAACGCGGAGTTGCCGCGCTGCGTGACGCCCACGGAGTAGCGCACCGCGTACGTGTCCTTGTACCTGCGCCGCCGCGGCGCGACAGGAGAGTCTTTTTACTATTGGCTAATGCGACGGGCTGCCCGACGCGAAGGCGGACATCGACGGTCTGAGCGAGCGATGCGAGGAGGCGAAAGACGGCGTGGGCAAGATGGATGGACTTACGAGAAAAGCGCCAGACCGATGGTGCCCGTCGACTTGGTGTCTCCCGTGCTGCCAACGACTTGGCGACCATTCATCGAAGTCACGACGCGACCTGCGACGAGCAAGCGACACGCCATGCGACATTCATTTGGAACCAGACGAACGACTTTGTTATGACAGATACCAGCTGGAAGTGCAGCTGGAGGAAGAAATTTTGAGAAAAATGCATACGGCCGCAATGCTAGTAGCGACATTCGCGAAAAAATCGAGGCGAGGAAGGACGGCGTACCGACTCTCTTGCCAACAGCGCTGGAGGCGAACGCCAAAAGGGCGAGAAGCACAAGGGCGAGCGGCTTGGAAGCCATGGTTGCGTTGAGCACGCAGAACAGCTGAGTGGATAAGTAAATGGGGCGAATAAAGATTGATAATGGGTTGTTCGACCAAAAGGGGTCTTTGTTTTTTTTTTTTTTTTTTTTTTTTTTGGAGGGGAATAGGGGTCTTTGTAGTGGGGGGGGTTCTTGAAGCAGCGGCGTCACAAACCGCGCTCCCGCACAGGGGTCCCCAAATTACGGAACCACACGCAAAGCAACCGCCATGGCGATTTGCGGCGCCTAGGGCTAAAAAGGGGCACCATCATGACTGAAAGTTGCGAAGTTGTGTTGCGAAACTTGCGATGGACATTGCGAAACCAGAAACCACAGCTACACCTTGAGTCTTGTACCTGCGCAAGCTTACACTACCAAATTTACAAACCAGAAACATGGTTTACCGTATTTACAGCACTTGTAAATAAGTGCTCTCTGATATCTCCTCAACAAGCTGATGCTAGTGTTAGATACACCCCTGCTAGTGCAAGCGTCACTTTTCATGGAACTGCAAATATCCAACGACATTTTGGCGATAATTCCAACAAACAACATTGTGAAACTAGGCAAGCAGCAGCACCTTCCATGCTTAGTATCGTAGCTAACGCTCTGTGAGGCGGGAAAAAAAAAATAAGTATGGGCTAGATTCCATGATAAGCTTTGACTAGAGGCTTTGACTATAGGCAAAGAGCTATGGCCCATGGGGCAATGGAGGGATGGAATGGTTCACTGCTGCGCATGCTGCTGCTGTGCTCTCACAGACAGCGCCTGCATCATTTTAACGAAAACCAAGCAGCAGAACTCCTATCCCATCTAATCTCACTCAACAATCCACAGTAACTCTCCCCGTAACTTGCACGTGACAGACCAGCAGCACCGCACACCCCCCCTGCATAGCAGCAATCGCATAGCCACAGAACCGATAGCAGAGCTGCTACTACTGGGTGCGATAAATCTGGCCGCGAACGGCACCCTCCGGGTGCGAGGGGGTGGTCACGAGCCCATAGAACTGGCGCGGGTGAGCCAGAATAGCCTTCATTGTGACCACGAGAGACTCTCCATTCACACCCTCGAGGGTAGCAGCGTCCCGCCACACGCCCGCAATCACATAGGTGTACATCTTGGGGTGCTTAGGGCGCTGGTAGTTGCTGGTCATGTTCCGCCATTCGCCGGTGAACTCGATCACGGCAGGGCCGTTGGTGAAGCGCATGCCGTGATTCACGGTGGCCTTTGTCGGGAGGTCGTGGTTGCTGACCTGCCAGACATGCACGGTGTAGCGAATGTTGTAGATCTCGCCGTGCCTGCAGGACGGCATGACGGGAGTGGCAATGCATTAGCAGGAGCAGTGAGGGTGGCAGCACTGCTAGTGGCCACGGGATGAATCTTCAGAATGATACTTCATGAATCAAGTGAACAAGTGGGATTACCCATTCGGAATGGCAGGAAGCCACGTGCACATGCATAGCGCGCCGTGTGCTGGCGCAAAAGGCAGGGGAGCTGAACAGGCGGCAAGCGATGCGAGAGGACCCCGTCGAGTGACAAGTAACGGACTCCGTCGGCGAGCAACGCGAGAGGACCCCGTCGAATGTCAGAAATGACGCGTCCGAGTCGCGGGGGCTTACTTGAAAAGCGTCAGGCCGACGGCGCCCGAGGAGTTAATGTCGCCCGCGCTGCCCACAACCTGCAGGGCTCGCATCGTCGTCGCCACGCGGCCTGAAACGCGCCACGTTCAGATCATCAGAAGAAGAGGAAGTTACGAAAAAACGAGACGGGGATGCGTCGAAAATTGGACACAAGCATGATTCTAGTCGGAAGCGGAACGAGGGAGGCGAGCCGCTTACCGACACGCCGGCCGAAATACTCCGCGTCGCACGCACCCGCCGTCAGGACAAGCAGCACAACAGCCAGAAGTGACGGCCTGAACGCGGCCATGGCTCAGAGAGGCTCGGATAGGCTCAGAGAGGCTCGGAGAGGCTCAGAGAGGCTCGGAGGCTCGGAGAGGCTCGGGGCTCGGAGCAGGAAGACGCGTCGGACGTGTATGAGGGGTTCAACGAGGGTTGCGAAGCTGTGGCTGCGGTCTGAGGAAAGGAGTATAAATAGTATGAGCGGCCTCATTTTACGAAGAACCGTTCGGGTGAACATTCACGGTGAACCTTCAGGGTGAAAGTTGTGGTGTGCTGGCGAGGAGGTGTCGGGTGGTCACGTTTGTGGGGCTTGCTTGATTGGTGGATGGTGCTTCTAGATAAGAAGGAATCCATCGTGGCACGACGACGGACCGCAACGCTGGATGTGCGTGGTGCTGGAGCGCCGAAAAAAAAGGACAGAAGGAGATGGAGGAGAGGAGAGGGAAGGGAAGGGAGTCGTGCGAGTCGTGACAAAAAGTACCACCATGACGGCGCCGCGGTTGGGGTTCTAGGTCCTAGGATCAGGGAGCATGAGGGCGATGTGATTCGCGCGAGCTGTTCATCCTGAATACCCCAGGCATGAAGCATGATGAGAGGAATTCGTTGGGGTGGGATGCGTTGGGATTGTTCACAAACTCCCGTTACAAAGTTCCTCGTATCTCCACCCATATGCTTGCTGTACTCTACGTAGCGCAAGTAAATTTGCACATCACCCGATTATTAACAATTAATGAAACAACCAAACATGCTCGGCAACAATTCACCCAATAAGAATACTAGTCATATGAAAAGACCCAACAAGCAACATTGTGAAAGAAGGCAAGCAGCACTACGTCACCTTCTTGCCTCCATGTATGCACTAGGTATGCACTACCATTCAGACATACCGTGCCATCACTGTAGCCTCCGATACACTACATCAGATACAGTTCGTCTGCGACATGAAAACAGCAGTTACAACAAATCACTCCTAAAGGAGCAAGCCATTGCCCAATGGAAACTCAAGAAGCAGCTTTATTTCCATCTATGACATTACAATACCACCACACTCTGCACCTGCTGCTGCATCTCACACCTCAAGCTCTAAAATCGTGTCAATGCATCAGGAGGAAAACTACCAGAACTCTAACTCACTAACACACTCAGCAACCCACATTCACTCCCCCACCAACGTGAACAATGGATCACCACCACTTCACACCCTCCCCGCATAGAAGCCATCACCGTGACGTTGCCACTAAAGCGAGAGCAGAGCTGCTAGTAGGATTTATGAAACTGGGCGCGAATGGCACCGCCCGGGTGCGACGCCGCCGTCACAAGCCCATAATACTGCCTCGGCGCTGCGATGATCGCCTTCATGGTCGCCTCGAGAGACTTCCCCGAGGCAGCCTTGATCTTCGTGACGTCGTGCCACACGCCCGCAATCACATAAGTGTACAGCTTGGGGCGGTTGGGTCGCTGGTAGTTGCTGGTCATGTTGACCCACTTGTCGTCGGGGAACTCGATCTGAACAGGGCCGGTGGTGAAGCGCGTGCCGTAATGCACGGTCGCTTTCTTGGGAATCTCGGGGCGGTCGAGCCGCCAGACGTGCACAGAGTAGCGAATGTTGTATGTCTCACCGTACCTGCATGATGGCGTGACGGGGGGAGCGACGCATTAGCAGGGGCAATGAGGGTGGCGGCGGGCTGTTTTTTCAGAAGATGATATTCATGGATTGAACGACTTGTTCAGAAAGTAACGATGAAACGACCTATTTGGAATGGCAGGAGGCCATGCGCAGTGGCATTGGGCGCCGTGTGCTGGCCCGAAAGGAAAGGGAGCTGAACCGCGGCGAGCGACGCGAGAGGAACCCGTGGAGAGAAAAGTGACGGACTCCGTCGGTCGTGTCAGAAATGACGCGTCCGAGTCGCGAGGACTTACTTGAAAAGAGCGAGAGCGACGGTGCCCGTGGTGTTATAATCGCCCCTGCTGCCCGTGACCTGCGCGGCGCGCATCTCTGACGTCACCTTACCTGAAACGCGCCACAATCAGAGCATAAGAAAAGATAGCAAAGAAAAGAATTTAAAAAAAAAAGGATGCGCCGGAAGATAAGGAAATGTCGCTTTGGAAAAGGGACGGGGAGGCGAGCAAGGACGCTTACCGACTCGCCGGCCGAGGTACTGCGCGTCGCACGCACACGCCGCTAGGGCAAGCAGAACGACGGCGAGAAGCGGCGACGCGGGCCTGAACGCGGCCATGGCTCGCTCGGAGAGGCTCGGAAAGGCTCGGAGAGGCTCGGAAAGGCTCGGAGCAAGGAAACGCGTCGGACGGGTATGGGGAGAGGTTCACCCAGGGTTGCGAAGCCGTGTCTGAATGAGGTGACGGTATGATGCGAGAATAAATAGTATGAGCGATCTCATTTCTCAAGAACCGTTCACAGTGAACGTTCGGTGTGAACCTTCAGAACGAGGCTTGTGAGTGGAGGTGGGGTCTCGATTGGTCACGTTTTGGGGCTTGTTTGATTGGCGGATGATGCTTCTAGATAAGAAGGAATCCATCGTGGCACCACGACAGACCGCAACGCTGGATGTGTGGTGCTCGAGCGCTGGAAAAATAGGACCACAGGCCGCAGGAGGGGAAAGTAGGGAGGGGAGGGAAGGGGAGGAGAATCATGTGAGTTGAGACAAACAGTAGAAGCGCGACGGCACCGCGGTCGGGGTTCCAGAAAGCAGAGTTAGCGAAACCAGGATTTAGGGTTTAGTACACTAAAAAGATAATGTACAAACACATCATGCAGTCGTAACTTTGTCCGGAGGGAAGGGCCACAGCACCGTGTACTGCGGATTCCCTATAGAGAACCTAGGGTGGTTGATGAGTCATCCTTGGGTTGTCCCAGATAGAGCTGAAATTGTGCCTCCACGTCAGCGGTGTTCCTTTGCTGCATATCCGCTTCATTACAACCGCCTCATCCGCCGCCAGGTGCCTCCAGTCATCAACACAGGCAGCCACGCCGTGTTTCCGTGCCGCCACTTGCCTCGCCAAACAATACACCCTGGCGTGCGCGACAAACTTAACCACTGCCTGCCGTATCACTTTCTTTGGTTGGAGTTTGATACCCTGGCGACTTGCGTTGCATCTTGCCAGCCACACCTGGTGCAATGTGGTAGCAATGAACGAGCTTTCCGGAAAACCCGACTTCGTGCTTCTCTGCGTGTTCGGCTGTTGTGATTCGTGAACCTAGAGGGTTTAGGGTTGGGAGGTGGGACTATTGCAACTGTTCCAGGTGAGCAGCTCACTAGTACATTATAAACTTCCTCATACTTCTTCTGCATCCACATGACGTTGAGTGTACTGGTACATGAAGCTCAGCTTGCATTAAGAAAACAAGAAATAACTGAAAGTACAATGCAGAGATGCATGCATGCGTAAAATCGTGCATATTATTGTGCATGATGGAGGACAACAACAAGCAATTCAAACAACAGCCACAGTAAACGGCAAATTCACCCATTTGCGTCGGGAATACCGTACCATCCAACGAGAATCATTGCGAACCAAGGCAGCAGCACCTGATCACCTTTCATGCTAAGGCACTTCTGATGGGGGCTAGATTCCAAGCTGAGCTCTGAGTAGAGGCGAAGAGCCATGGGGCAATAAGAGTCCCGAGTAACGCTTCCCAATCCACCTGTTTAAAGGGGAGGTGGCAAAGGCATACATCAAACCCATACGTGTGAATCGTGTGGTGACTGATCATTGCAGAGCAGACCCCCCATCTTAGACTACTCCAGATTCCAATAACAAAACTCAGAGACGTGTTCGTCCTGTGTCTCTGAACTTACTAAACCACTGTTGGGTTAGTTGTTGTTCCTTTCCTAGCTAATTCAAGCCACTCCTTGCTGCCAACAGTGCCATGTCCCACCGCAGGTTGCAGGGAAAGAAAAGCACGTTCCCGCCTAAAGTGCAACCATGCCACCAATAGCACATCCGAGCCTACCTGCACCCCATGGGGGATGAGCGTTGTGGTTTGCATGTCAGCAGCCATAGAGAGGCCATTCTTGAGGCGCTTAGGGTATGAGCACTTCTCAGCCTACCTGCAGGCTGCACCCCATGGGGGATGAGTGCAGTGGTTTGCATGTCAGCAGCCACGGAGAGGCCGAGGATGGAGACCAGCCCCGCCATGGCGGTCCATGTTGCTGACGCGCTGCTTCTACTGAGCCTCCATGTCCCGCCCCACTCGCACCGAGCACCCACGGTTCGCTACACCCTATAGACAAAGGGATAACGGGACGAAATCAGTGTGAGCAAGACGAACGGGCCCAATGGGAGAGGGAGGGGCTCTGGGACGGAGATGGGGAGAGAGTGAGGGCTGAGGAATGAAAGGAGCGGGAGAATGGAAGACGCGAGAGGGAGGATTGAAGGAGCACAAAGTGCGAGTGAATGTATAACCGCAACACAGCAAAAAAGTGAGGCCCTAACCAAACAGAACCAGGAATGCGATACGTGTGCGAGCGAATCACATTCACGGGTACTCATTCTGATTCTCATTCACGGCATGCACGCACCAGTGAGCTTCCGGCCGAGAGTGTGAAAGGCGAGCAGCACTGGCGCGGCTTGCTCTTGAGTGAACAGCCGGACCAGCCGGATCAACCGGGTGTTTTGAGAGCATTTGCACTTGCAGCGAGGATTCGCCAGCGGGTTGCACCGCTGTTTTCCTTGGCTTAAGCCTACCGCACGCACGCAGCTCACCGAGATATGTCTGAACCTCGCCACATCGACCCCTCAGCGGGTTGCACGTGGTGCATGACAACGCTGGCGCGGCGCGAGAGGTAGCGGCGCGTGACGGGCAGCAGGGAGGTGAGAGAAGCGTCATGCGCATCTGCGATAAGAAAAGGGGGGGATACAAGCATAAGAATGGAAACGACGCATTCGAGAACAGGGGGGATGTTGGGGAAAGAGGGGGGACGGGGGATTGGGGGAGAGGGACATTGTAACATGGTACACATGGTACCCTGAAGCACGTGCTTCTGATGTTTAGCATTCCGTGTGCCAGTGGAATGTGTGAACATGTACAGCAACATGGTAACCTGGCAGATTCACGACGGAGATCGCATACTACACGACCGTGTATCTGAAAGCAGAAAGAATCGCGCGTCGCTATTACGCTTTAGCGACCAGGGTCGACCGTTGATGTTTCTGAATCTTACGCGACCGTTGATGCTGGCGACCAGCAGCGTGAGCCCTTTCTGGCTGCCATCGCCGCGTAAGCCGCTTCCGCGTCGCACTCTTGTAAGGAGTCCGCACCGACGTTCGTTCCGTCGACGGGTATCCCTGTAACGGGGATAGCCCGTGCCGCTATCGGAGCGGTGACTACGGCGCGAATTTCTACATTCGCGATGAATCAATTTTATGCGCTGCGCGGAGAGGAGATGAGCATCGACAAGGCATGGCGACGCGTGTACGGACAGCCTCTAATCAACCTTCATAATTGTGGCGATTTCGCTATCAGAATCAATTGTAGAACCGCAATAAGGTTCGCGCCGATATCAGTGACTGAAATCTCGCTGAAATATCCGTTACTAGGATTGCCAGGACATAATCAGGATGTTCCAATCCACTAAAGCCATCGCAAAGAAGTCTGGGCAGAGACTATGGCGCGTTTGAAGCAGGGAAGGGGAAACTAGAGAGTACAAATATATCATTATCACTTTCGGAGTTGCTCCTTACCAATATTATAATAAAAGGACTAAATAAATAACATGTTAGTCCATAGCACTAATTGTCTACATATGACTGAACTACCTACTGCAGTAATTGTTTCATGGCAATAAACCAATCAAAGTTCATAAAGATGATCCTGATTAATAATCAAATAATTATAATTTTTAAACACATTGATGTTTTTAAAATTGTGTATTGTGAAAGCGAAGCTGCCTGTACCGAATATTTGGCAGCGTCGAAGCGCGCTAAACGCCCTTCTCCAACTACAAAAACCGTGGGTTGGAGTTCATTCCCTCCACCCACGTTTCTCGTTTTTCAACGGCTCAATCAACATCCCCACCACCCACCCCGGACCAACTACAAGACCACTGCTGCTTGGACGGACGACTCTATAGCTAGTAATATTTGTATGTACTAGCATGTGTTTAAGAACGTTGCATATGTTGTAATAAGCCAGTTGCAATGAGAACGATGCCCAGTTGCAATGAGAACGATGCCAAATTATAAGGACAAGAAAGCAAGCTTTCTCAATAAAGTACTTCTTTATACCCATGCACTATAGGTATGCATGGGGGGTTCCTCTTGGCCGCCAGGAGCAAGCTCCCAACGTTACACCCAAGCACCACGGTGAGGTGGGAACCATCGCTTAGGACCCTGTTGGAGGGGGAGACAGAACACAAAAGGATACTGGGGCAGGTGAAAATCATTATGTGACTCTGTTGGGGGGGGAGACAGAACAGCAAAGGACACTGGATACTGCCCAGGGGCAGTTGAAATTATTATATGATCCTGTTGGGGGGGGAGACAGAACACAAAAGGATACTGGATACTGCCCAGGGGCAGGTGAAAATCATTATGTGACTCTGTTGGGGGGGGGAGACAGAACAGCAAAGGACACTGGATACTGCCCAGGGGCAGACGTCTCTCGAAACTCACAAGAGAAGAGAGTGTTCCTACTCTGCTTCGCTGCAACCTGTGTTCCCTGCAATCTGCTTCAACCCTACCCTGCTTCGCTGCAACCTGTGTTCCCTGCAATCTGCTTCACCCCCTACTCTGCTTCGCTGCAACCTGTGTTCCCTGCAATCTGCTTCACCCCCTACTATGCTTCGCTGCAACCTGTGTTCCCTGCAATCTGCTTCACCCCCTACTCTGCTTCGCTGCAACCTGTGTTCCCTGCAATCTGCTTCACGAGCAAACGAACTCCTCTGGAGTAGCACACGGGAAGGGTGGCCAGTCGTCTTCACTGCTTCTCTTCTGCAGACACCGCTGGTGCCACTGCTTCTATTCCCTTGTGCTGCCACTGCATCTCTTCTGCTCCCACTGCTGCTGCCACCACAGCTGTCACTGCTGGCCTTCTCTTGTGCTCGCCGTCCCATCACTTCACAGCACCAGCAGCAGCACTCGGGAGAGAGGGAGAAGTGAGGGAGGTAGCAGCTTCTTCATCCCCTTCACAGCTTCTTCATCACCTTCACAGCTCCTTGGCAGCAGAAGGTAGCTAAAGGTAGGTACAGCTCGCTGGCCCGCTCATGCCAGTCCACCCGTCTGCTCTGCTCGCCTGAGCCACCCGTCTCCTCTGCTCGCCTGTAGCAGCCGTCTCGTCTGCTGCTCCCTAGCCTCTTCGTCCTTCTGTGAAATGGGAGGAGAATGAATCAGATACGATGAGTGCAGTGCAAGGCACCGATTGCATGCAATGCCAGGAAGGAACTCAGAGCAAATGCAAAATCAAGGCAACGACATTCGAACAAACAGAACAACTCAAGTGAAAAAGAGAATCACCGTCGGCAGTGAATAGTCATCCACGTCCGTGCTCCTTTGCTCTTTGCTCTTCAATGCAGCACCACTCCCCCTCCAGTGCAGCACCACTCCCCCTCCAGTGCAGCACCACTCCCCCTCCAGTGCAGCACCACTCCCCCGCCAGTGCAGCACCACTCCCCCTCCAGTGCAGCACCACTCCCCCTCCAGTGCAGCACCACTCCCCCTCCAGTGCAGCACCACTCCCCCTCCAGTGCAGCACCACTCCCCCTCCAGTGCAGCACCACTCCCCCTCCAGTGCAGCACCACTCCCCCTCCAGTGCAGCACCACTCCCCCTCCAGTGCAGCACCACTCCCCCTCCACTGCAGCACCACTCCCCCTCCAGTGCAGCACCACTCCCCCTCCACTGCAGCATCACTCCACCGCTTCACAGCAGCAGCAGCACATGCGAGGGAGGTAGGAGTGCGGCAGCACATTGCAGCAGAAGGTAGGTACAGCTTGCACCTTGCTGCTGCCAACTCTGGCCCCTTCTCTGCTCCTCTGCTCTATTCACCTGCTCATCACCTCTCCTGCAGTGGCCTCCTCTCCCAGCAGGTGCCAGTCGTCCCCTCTGCTCCTCTAGAGTAGCACACGGGAGGGAGGCAGCATCATTTTCTCCCACTGCTGCTCCTCTGCTCCTCTGCAGTGGCACACGGGAAGGGTGGCCTTTTCTTCTGCTGACTCTGCTGCTGCCACTGCTGGTTGAATCCCCTCTGCTGCCACTGCGGGCCTCTCTTCTGCTCCCACTGCTGCTGCCACCGCTGGTCCCACTGCGGGCCTCTCTTCTGCTCGCTGTCCCATCACTTCACAGCACCAGCAGCAGCACGCGGGAGGCAGGTAGGAGCGAGGGAGGTAGCAGCTGCCGTCCCATCACTTCACAGCACCAGCCGCAGCACGCTGGAGCAGTAAAATCTTATTCTACGTACTACGTCATCAGATTAAATAGTTAACATCTCTTGTAATGTGAAAGCAGTTCCAAAAGCTGGAAATGTCGAGTATTCCATCTCCCTTGGTCTTTGACCATCACAATGGGACTTACCACAAAGAAGATGCTGTGTAACTAAGCTATCGGCCGAAATAGCTTAGTTACACAGCAACCTCATGGTGGTAAGTCTCATTTTGGTGGTCAAAGGTTCGAGGAGATGGAATGCTGGGCATTACAAGCTTATGGAGTTGCTTACGCATAAAAAGAGATGTTAACCGTAAAATCTGATGACGTAGAAGGTAGAATCTGAGTTTACGAGGTGAAATGTTGTAGCCGGCTCAAGTGTTAGTGTCCGCACATGAAGTCTTGACGTCGGCACTTGGTGCTTAGCGTCGGCGATTCAACTCTCCACAAGAGGTCGCCAACAGGTCTGCTCCTCTGCTCTATTCACCTGCTCATCACCTCTCCTGCAGTGGCCTCCTCTCCCAGCAGGTGCCAGTCGTCCCCTCTGCTCCTCTCCCAGCCGGGAATCCTCTCCCAGCCCATTCTCACTGGCAGTGGCAATGGCCGGGAATCCTCCTTCGCCTCCGCTGCTCCTCTCCCAGCAGGTGCCAGTCGTCCCCTCTGCTCCTCTCCCAGCCGGGAATCCTCTCCCAGCCCATTCTCACTGGCAGTGGCAATGGCCGGGAATCCTCCTTCGCCTCCGCTGCTCCTCTCCCAGCAGGTGCCAGTCGTCTCCTCTGCTCCTCTGGAGTAGAGGGAGGAAGGCAGCATCATTTTCTCCGCTGATGCTCCTCTGCAGTAGCACACAGGAAGAGTGGAATTTTCTTCTTCTGACTCTGCAGCTGCCACTGCTGCTACCACTGCTTGCATTCCCTTCTGCTGCCACGCCTGCTGAAACCAGTGTTGTCACTGCGGGCCTCTCTTCTGCTCGCACTGCTGCTGCCACCACTGGTCCCACTGCGGGCCTCTGTTTTGCTCGCTGTCCCATCACTTCACAGCACCAGCAGCAGCACGCGGGAGGGAGGTAGGAGCGAGGAAGGTGCTGAGGAGCAGCTGAGGAGCACCACCGCTGGTGTCACTTCTGTTCTTTTCTGCTGCCAGCCACTGCTGCTGTCAGCTGTAGTGTCACTGCGGGCCTCTCTCCTGTTCCCACCGCTGCTGCCACCGCTGGTGTCACTACCTGCATCCCCTTCTGCTGCTAGTTGTCGTCCCATCACTCCACATCACAGCACCACCAGCAGCACGCAGGAGGCAGTAACAGCTCGCAGATTGCTGGTGTGGATTTCGTGTCCCCTCCGTGCCTTCCCTGCTGCAGCTCAGGGCAGTCCAGCCGTCTCCTTCCTCTTGGGATCCCTTCCAGCCGTCTCCTCACCTCCCCTGCTCCACTGCTGCAGCTCACGGGATTGACTGGCGTTGACTGGCTTTGACTGGCATTGACTGGCCTCCCAACACCCACCAGCAGCGCCAGA